CTTCCGATCCCCCCCCCTTCTCTCCCATGTTCGTCGACATACGCGTTCGCCGCCCCCGGCGCAGACGAATCCGGGTTCTCTGTGTCCGGGGGGTTCGACATGAACGGCGATGGATTGAGTGATTTCATCATCGGAGCACCGGAAGGGGGAACCATCGGGGAGTTCGACGGGGAGGCGTATGTCGTATTCGGGCAGGTGCGGGAAAAAAATGTGTTTCGGGCTCCGGGTAGGCGCGTAGCACGTGTTGGGTAGGAGATCGATCTACAGCTTTCACGTCTAGGCCCAAGACCACAACAAAACTTCAAATCATTGTTGGAGGGCTTGGATAAATCCGTTTCAGGGTGGTTGGTAGTCGTTTCTGTACGAGACGCCCCAGATACAGTTTGAGTACTTGTAGGAAGCATGTACGCGGCGGGAGATCTCTCAAGGTGAGCAACTTCGCCGGAACCCGGCGAAGAACGCATAGAACCATTCCCCCGCCAACGTTTACACGCACAGTGACCCAGATCTACAGGGAGATGTTCGGTGTATTGGACGATGCACGTTTTAGCGATAACGGCGCCAGTGTCCACGTGCTGAGCCACACACTACGCGGTGACAAATGCATGTTCTCTGTTCCGATCGATAGGAAAACCTGGCCGATTCTGACACGGTGATGCTTGACACCGATCTAGATGGGACAGTCGGTTTCAGCATCCTTGGGCCTTCGGATGACGCTTACGCCGGCAGCTCCGTTGCGGGAATCGGGGTGAGGCTGTTTCGCTAGTATAGTAGATAAAGTTGATGTATGCCGCCCTTACTTTGTTTGAATGGAGACCGATTGCAACTGGACAGAGCACGCATTGACCAACGGCAGGAATTGCGCGCAAGAAGACCTGGTATCATAAAGCAACATGTGCTTGCGGTCGATACGTACAGATACAGCAGCAAAGAACAACAACAACTCACTCAAATCCGTCCACACGCGACGCTCCCGTCTCCCGTGGGTTTTACACCGAAAGCGCACCGTGTCCCTTTGTGAAAGCACGAAAACACTCTCCGCGAGTATCGCCGTCAGACGGCAAGAGCGACGGCTGCGACAAGCACGTACTGTGTGTGCAACGTTCGTTCGATATCTGTGGTATTTCCACGCCCTTTCTTCTTGGCGACGCCATGGAGGAAGAAAAACAGGCCATCACGTCGATCCCCCTCCGGCTTCCCCCGCCCGTCGTTCGCATGACTCATTTTTATTTCCGTTGACCGCACGCGTTGTTTGAACAAACCCTCCACGATTCACCGTAGGACATTAACAGCGACGGCTACGACGATATCATCGTTGGAGCTTTCGGAGACGTGCCTGACATGAGGTAAGCCCGCTTTAGAACCTGTGTGAGGTGCCTGAGGGAAGCCGATGCTCTTTTCTGAACCTTAAATTGCAGGGCTTCATAACGTGAGCTATACATAGAATACACAACCTCGCGTCAGGGCAGGTCGTGCATAGTACCTGGTTGGGGTACCAGTAAGGAACGCCGAAGATACGTTGCGATGGGTTCAGAGGTCTAGGCACACTCGCTTGGGAAGACGAATATTGCGTTTAGAATGTGATGACAGCACCCCGGGGTTCGTTTCGTCGAACTGGATAAGATACAATACTAGGTGCCGGTCTTTCCTAGCCAGCGACTAAATCGGTGTGAGTATCCCCAGCTACTTCCCGTCCCAATTCAACCTCTATCCGCGGGGACGAAATGCGATCACGCGGGCGGGCGTGGGGTGCAGATATCGAGCGGGCGCAGCGTACGTGGTGTTCGGCAGGGCCGAGGGCGACTTTGCCGCAGCTTACGATCTCAGAAGCGCCGACATCGTTGATGGACAGACGGCTACCTCGCTGTCAGGGCTGCGAGCGGAAGACGCCACGGGTATCGGTGTGGGCCCGGCGGGGGACCTCAACGGGGACGGAGTACCAGATATTTGGGTGAGCGAGGCCGCAGCGCGGGACTTGACCCGGTGAAAGCAGGCAGCCCGGAAACAGGCAACATCAGTATTCTCAACCGTCAGCCGGTGTTACTGGTGTCATGAAAATGAATAGTTTGTTGTTTCAATATCGGACACGTATGCGAGAATCTCTATGGTACTGAATATTGCTCCTCTCGTTGCGCTCTCAACTCGCTCTATCTCAAGGGATGGGGGTGGCCGTCCGAACTAACATCATTCGGGAGCCTAGGGAGTGACATATTTGGTTTGCATGATGGAGCACATCGTTACCCCTAACACGGGTAGAGAAGGACCCACCTCAAGCGGATCTTCTGTTTGTCCTAAACCTCTCCCGCGTCGCGCACTCGACTGTTTGTTTACGCTCTGATAACACAGTCCGCACGTTCGATCCGACCGAATCGTGCCTTCACCCAATCTCACACCGTTTGACGTGGCAGTACGTCACCTGCATTGTCACCCTTTGCGGGATTCGGGCGTAAGGAGAGACAGTTGTTGCGCTGCCTTGAGTGACCCGTACACGCGAGATGAATAAAATATTATGCTGGGTATTGGGCCATCAAAAGTATAATATATCTTGAAACACACGTATCCCCATATTCCCCGCGTCGTTGACCACCCCTTTTTTCGGACGTACAACAAGAATTAAGTGTATTTTTGCTTTTGAGACCCCATACGTTCCCACCAGTTTCTGCATAATAGCAAGCCGAGACGAGCGTGGTACCAGCACGTTGCGGTGCTCCTAGCTCAGGCCTCAACCCCCCCTACTCCACCCACAAGACAACATTGCCAGCAACCCGATAATCGGAGGCCGAAAGGTTGGTTCATGACCACGCTTTTGACTAGCCCTGGCACCCACACCTGTGCTCTCAGCCCTTACCCCAGCCGCGCCCCTACGCTTCGATTGTGTGCTTTCTCTGCTGGTGTGTTGTCTGGACTTCCACTCCAAAGGTCGGGGCTCCTACCTCAGACCCAGGCAACCTGGAACAAGCGGGGTCTGCGTACATTGTGTTTGGGTGGAAAGAAGAAGGGGACATCTCTTCCTGGGGAGAGTCCGTCGACCTTTCCGCACTCGATGGATCGAACGGGTTTGTCATTTCAGGCTCCACCTCAGGAGGGCATTTCGGGTATGTACACTATGTTGGTATCATAGGGAAAGGTATGCGTGTATTTCTGCGTTGTGCATAGGAATGGTTTTACTCAGGCCGGTTTTGGGGGCGGCTTAGGTCAGGATGTCGTATTTGGGTGTCATGTTTGTGTGTACATGTAGTGCACCTGCCCAAACACACGCTTGACTGAGAGCTGATCTCGGCATAGAGTGGTTGGTCCAAAGATTAGGACCTCGTTCGGTGTCGTTGAACAACCCTAACTTCGAATGGAAGCTCTACGCGTTCTTATCGCAACTTGACGAGTGGAGTGTCGATATTACCTCCACTTGGACCGCTCAGCCGAGATCCAGCCATCTCCTAATATATTTCTAGTATCCACCGCCGTAAGACTTCGGCGCGCAGACTTCTCGTCAACGTTACCGGTAAAAACATCCTCGATGCAGTGAGTGACACAGGAAAGTCAGAGGGAACCTTCAAGCAAACAATGCGAAAATTGTGACCCACGCCCTAGTAGCCCGATGGAGGTGGCACTGCAGTACACGTAGGGGCGGTGCGTCGCCTCATGGTCATGACATGTGCACACCGATCTATTGTTCTGACGAAGGCGGCCTACATACTGCACTTGGTCCATATTACAGGTGGACAGGGGCCGCCAATGTGGACATGAACCGCGACGGAGTTTCCGATCTGCTGATCGGAGGCTTTTTGGTCCCGGGGTTGTATGTTGTATTTGGTGACGGAGGCGAACCGTACGATAACACTACTGCGGTGATTTTGGCGATCGTCTGCGGTGTCTTGGGCTGCCTCTTCTGCGTTGTGCGTGAAGCCCAAATATGGGTGAGGCTTGACTTTTTCCGATGTTTCATGTCAAAAGTCATTCAGAAATTTTCCATACGTTGTACCTTGTCTAATTCCGAGATACCGCCGGTTTCTATGTTTGTATTTTCGGGTCCACCGTAGTTCTGCGCAACCCAAGTTGGCAGTGCACTCCCCACTAGAAAGTGACTGGCAGCAGGACGCAGCGAGATCGCGACGCACGAACCTCATGGTGACGAGAAACGACGTGCTCGGATACACTAGTAGCAAACAAAGCACGGCAAGCCAGCGGTCACTCCTACCCGGTTAACTTTGGTTTTCTCGATTCTAATCATTCGTTTCCTTCCATTGGTGGACGGTAATCCGTTTGCGGGGTTGTACTTCATACTTAGCTTGCCAAGAGAGAGGCAACAGCGGAGGAAGCACGAAAGTCGAAGGAAACCGAAGACGATTCGATCGGGCACTGGAAGATGAAGAAAGAAGATGAGGAACAGATGACGCCGACAACGACGAGAGACATCAACCAGGTGGGCAGTGAAACGGTAGTGGTAGCCAAGAAGGAGTGACCGTGTAAGGCGGTCGCACTGAATACCCTAAAGAACCATAGTGCAAACATATAGTGGGTTTGAAGGTTCAGCTACGTACGGCCAGCCATCCTTTCCCGGCCAACTCACTTTGACTCGTCGTTGATGGCATGGTGTCCGTGACAGGAATAGCGTGAAGACACTGACCAGCTCGGCAACAAAAGCAGATTCGTTAGTATGATACCGAGGCTTCACTTTCAACTCACAAACTTCTCCTGGCCTCTACCCGCGCCGCGTTGTCCCGCCCGACGCTCCTCCCCAACTTACGTGACCAATTGCTGCTCCTGGCGTTCGACGTGTTTGCCGGTGATGGTGCTGCTGGCGGTACAACTTTGACTTCTACGCGACGGATTTATGCGGCATCGTCATGGGTGGCGTCGTGTTCGTTTCGAAATCACATCGATCGATGCCGAGACAACAGGGCTGTGAAATCATCGACCCAACATGACCTTGGAACAGATTCATCGCATTTCTGTAGTCGCTCTCGGGTGTTGAAATGAGTTCGGATGTCCAAGGAACGGTGCATGTTAGGGAGAGGAAGACAAGCATGGAGAGTTCTAAACAAGTACAGACGTCGAGCGCTTGTGTCGAGTACTACAGTATATGTATGCGGAAAATTGAAACCTAAGACATGCAAAGAAGTCACGATTGCTTGTGTGCGACGGATGGGTCTTGTGTTGATAGTGCTTGGAGTTTTTTCAAATACGATCACGACGTCTGAGTCAAAAGAAGACTGCCAGAAGGAGATGGAGATACTTGTGCTCATAGTGCTTGGAGTTATGTCAAGAGGATCACGAAGTCTGAGTCAAAAGAAGAACGCCAGCAGGAGATGGAGAGCGACTAGAGAAAATGACGGCTCGTGAACGCTTTGGCGAGCATCACCGGCGGAAGCCTGGAGTGTCATTTTGTGGCCAATGCCGCTAGCCGAAAATTGAGTTTCTCAAGAATGAAAGCCTCGAGCGGTGAGGAGCACCTACTTCTCGATGGTCACCCGCTGTATACCATCTACCCCAACCGTGGGCGCCGTGATGGACTGAACATCGTTAGATGGACACCAAGAGAGCACGTGTAGCTGCCGGTAGCCGTGAATGCGATAACATGAATATAAATACGATTTCCACCCACCACAACTTGTTTATTCCTATTAGCTCGACGTCTCTCCGATCCATCCGTGACTTTGACAGTAGCCCCAAACACTCCCAGCGGATCACGTGAAAAACGAATTTCCTTGTCAATAGGTGTTCAGCATGTTCAGCAAGCATGTCTGTAAGATATACTCGCAGCAGTCT